CTGCAGATGTGAAGGTGTGAAGATTAGATCTGCAGGTGTGAAGGATGCAGGTGAAAGATCTAGATCTGCAGGTGTGAAGGTGTGAAGATGTAGATCAGAGATGTGAGGTGTGAAGATGTAGTATCGGCTCTGCCTTTTTTACGAAGAACCCTTCGCAGGCGCTCTCGGGGAAAAACCCAGACTTTCTCGTAAAGTTGCAACTGTTTGAAAAGCCCCTGTTACTGTCGCTAAAACCATTCACGCGTGTAGAAACCCGCAATACAAAATGCATATGGGTGGGGTGGGGTGGGGTGGGGCAATAACGTTCATGTTCACTTGCACACTGACGTCATGCTACGCTAGGCTGCTCTTCTCTTGCGCTTGCACACACATACGTGATGCTACGCTATGGTGGGGTTGGGTGGGGTGGGGTGGGGCAATAACGTTCATGTTCACTTGCACACTGACGTCATGCTACGCTAGGCTGCTCTTCTCTTGCGCTTGCACACACATACGTGATGCTACGCTATGGTGGGGTTGGGTGGGGTGGGGTGGGGCAATAACGTTCATGTTCACTTGCACACTGACGTCATGCTACGCTAGGCTGCTTTTACATATGCTACGTATCATTATTTAGGCTTCGGATATGCGGGTTTCTCATTCATTCTTGGAGGGTATATCCCTTGGGGGAAAATATTTCTTGGAAACATCCTGCCCTCATTGCTGACTGGCTCGTCTTCTTTTTTCGCTTCTTGCACCTGTGCCGGGCAGGATCATTTTGCATTTGATTATGTGTGTATATATATATTCTATATAGTTTTATATATGTCTATTTCCTTAACTATGTCTGTATCTATCTGTTCCTATTGGTACATATCTGGAAACAACATATATATATATATATATAGATATAATATATGTTTATTTATTTATATATTTATAGTTATTTTCCAGGTATATCGGCACAAGCAGTTGACATGGTGCATTGTGAATGCTGACATTCAGAGCACTGCTGCACGAACGTGACGAGAATGAAAAAGTGTCATGTGCAAGAGTACTGTCTTTTCCCCGACGGCATGTCATCGCAGGCGACTGTTGCGTTGCAAACAAGCAGGCAAACTATGGACTTGGTTCCGAATGAATCTGGGAAGTTCCGAAACCTTGTTCTCTGGCACAGGTGTTGACCACCAACAGCGTCTGTCCTGGCCATGAAAAAAACTCTTCTGGAAAAAACCCGCACATACGTAGTATGCTTCCCCTGACCTCTGTCCACTTTTGAAGACATGCGGTCTCAAACTTAATTTACAACGTAGACACCGTCCCCAACGTGTTGGACGCAGAACTTTGGGTCTCTCTGCTGCTGGTGCATGGTTCACCGCAGAAGCTGCTGCTGCCGTGTCGCCTGGGGAGTTCACTCCACAGACAGTATCCACGAGTTCGCGATCTGCTGCAGAAACTGACGACACAAACGCCAAGCCATCCAAGGTCCAGAAGTTTGGATCAATCCAAGTCATTGCCCATTCTGGAACATCTGGTGCTAAGCCTCCTGAATCTCCATCTTCTTGATGCAACTGCAAGAGCCGAAAATAGGTCGGTAGCAGTTGCACTTCACCTGGTGATACATGAACCGGAACTTCTACATCGATTTCCACGTCACTCGATAGCCTGGACAAAGAGAAGGCGTGCTTCGACCATGAACGTTTTTCTGGTTTTGCCACGCATGCCGTTCTTGTACTGGCTTCTGAACTTTGCACCTGGGATGTCTCAGCAACAGAAGGCGGAGACATGGCAACATCTTCTCGACCACTCAGCTGATCTAAGAGTGCCCAACATTGTGCTGACTTTTCCACCTCGCTGGGATCTCTGACTATGCCTAACCGTCTTTGAAGCACGTGCAAGGTCGCAGCAACATGCACCGGGCACGTAGGATGCTGCCGGCGGAATCGCAGCCAGGCATCTTGCAAGGGACCAAAGCTCTGTCGAGGAACTTCCCATGAATACGTAGGGTCAGCCAGAAGACACTGACGGATGCACGCAGTCATGGAACTTGCGATCCGTTCCTGTCGCAGCTTTTCTTTGCAAGCAAGAAAATTGGGAGGTATGTGCCTGGTACGAAAAGAAAATGAGGCTGCTTCATGCAACGCATCCAACTCTTCCACTGTGACTTGTCCCCAGGCACCAACTAAGGGCGGTAGCCCAACACGTGCCACACGTAGAAGCAGCATCATAGTCAGAGCCACTAGAACGTCTTCCATGGCTGCAGTGTCAAAGAAAAGAACAGTTGAAGGGAACATGATGACTTTTCATCCATTGTGTCAGTGTTTTTTTATTTGAAAAGTTTCTCTTGATTGATGAAAAGAACTTCTTCCAAGTAAAAACTTGTGGTTGGCTCACGTGAACATGTTGTTCCAGCCACAAACCCTGCCAGAAACACACTATGGTCTTGGCCGCAGAACTTGTTGCGAAAATGTCGAATCTCTCAACCACGCCCCAAGCCCCAGCCGGCTTGCTTCAAGTCTGTCCTTCTTCTCTTCACCGAAGAAGTATCGGGGTTCAGATAAGGGGGGAGGAGTTGTGCAGGTGGTTTTGGTAGATACAGAGCGGAATGCATAGGGTGCACAACTACAAAATGCAAGTGCATGTACTTTTTTTCAGCTACAAAATGAAGAACATAACTCTTTCTGGCTCGGAAAATAATTCAAAACCAGTACTACAAAATCCAATGCATCTGAAGTCAAAAAAATAGCTAAACGTCGGAATTTCTAACATGATTTTTCCCAATGACATTTTGTAGTTGGGTCTTTGCCATCCAAAGTTCCGACCAACATAAATTCGGAGAACATTTTGTAGTTGTCAATGATTGAATTTAGTTGGATCAAGTGTTTTCCAAGTGTTTTCCTATGGCACCTTGATTGGGAGCATAGGGGCCGGTCGCATGGGGGTTGGCTCTCAGTTTGTGGGGGACATTCATTAAAGTTGAACGTCTTTTTCATTCTTACCCATCTTGATCATTCCTTATCTGTGTTATCCCTGCACCTCAGCATACATACAACTACAAAATGCAAATGAATGTTTAGCATGAATGCAAATGAGATTTTATGTTGGATGCTTCAACTATTCAACCTGTACAGCTACAAAATGCAAATGAGATTTTATGTTGGATGCTTCAACCATTCAACTTGTACAACTACAAAATGCTAATGAAATTTTATGTTGGATGCTTCAACTAACTCAACATATACAACTACAAAATGAAAATGCATGATTTGAAAGGAATCAATTACAAAATGATTCCAAATACAAAATGGGGGGCACAACCCCTCCTGTTTGTACAAAAAAATGCTGGCTGGCAATCTGTACTGTAGCCCAAATCCTCCCCATTTCGTAGCTGAAATTTGAAGGTGGATGAAGAAGTGCTTTCTTCGGCACTTGTGGACACTTGGACTTCTTTGCCAACCTTCCTAATTCCAAAAATAACTGTACACGTGAATACTGCCGATTGAAACGATGAAGCCAGTGCCACATATGTCGCCACAAGTTCTCATTGAAGACAAAATGACACGTGGACTTTACACTGGGGTGTATAAACTTCTTCATGGATTTCCACTGAGCATCGATGCACATGGTGCCGGCCACTTTGGAATGCCCTGCTTTGGTGCGTGTTTTCACGGACCATTGTTTTTTCGCATGAATTGCCCTTCGATGCTGAATACGCATTTTGATCTTCTTCAAAGCACCCTTGTAGCTAGTCGCACCATCTGTAAACAGAACGCACTTGCCAGGTTTCGCGATTCTCTGGATTAAGCCACTGTTCATGACTTCTTCCGTGTTTTCAACTGGTGGAACACCATTTTTCGCCACAAAACGAAATGGCAAAACTTTCAACGCAGTGAAGCCTCCCCTCTGACAAATGCCCAGAACGCGGGCATGAGCACGCATGACATCCGGACAGCCTTTCCTGCTCTGTGTCACAAATCTTTCAATTTGAAACTGGTAGTTGGGATTTCGTTTGCCAACAAAGAAGTTGCCAGCTCCATGGTGGCTACGTGCGGTGCACACATGTAGGTTTGGCCGCAGTAGTTTTCTATTGCTCGCAATAGATCACAGCAGTTCAAACGAAGCCCCCGAAAGACACCATAGGAGACTACATTGTTCTTTGTGCGACATTCGCGCCTGCCACATTGAACATAGACACTAAGCACATCAGAAGCTGCATTCTCAACTGGAGGTCCCAAGCAATTCCATCCGCAAGCCAAACATCGAACTGGCTCATGCAGAAAACCGGCATCCTTCAACTTCTGGTACGCCAACATCGGGTCACCTATGTTCTTCTGCAAACCCTTCCGAAACTGAGACCATCCTGCACGGCAGTCTTGCAGACGCTTTTTCAGGAAAGTCTTTCTAACATTTTGCTTGGTGTAAGCTTTCCTCGCTTTCTCTTTCGACCAAGCTTTCTTTCGGTTTTGCCGTCCAGGATTGTTCCTGGAACCAGGCTTGTGTCTGGTTTTCTCCACTTTTGCTCTCAGTCCCCTGATCTCAAAAGCCGCTTTCGAGGTGCAGCTTTCCAAGCGATGCCCCGCTTTGCCACATCCAAGACATTTGCGCGTCATGCAAGAGGTTGAAACTTTGATGCTCTTGTATGTGACAAATTCACTTCTTCAAAGCATGTCACTTCTCTAAACTTAGATTGATAATTTTGCGGTGCCCGATTTTCACTTTTCTGCACATGAAGTTTCATTTGTTGAAAGATGAAATTTGCCTGCATGATGAGGCAAGCTGAAATTATATGGGAAAACGCAGGAACAAATAACATGCAAATGGCTGCGGAACATGAATCATAAAATCCAAGCAACAAGAAGAAAATGCAATGATGCACGAAACGACGCGGGTTTCTATCCGCGTGAAGCCTAAAAAACCCCCTTCCCAATGAATTCAGTGACAGTTAGTTACTTGTCCTTGCCAACAAGAAAGCAAAGCTGCTGTATCACTGTGTCCCCTCTGATCCCCGCATGCTGTGAACATTTTGCTCATCCACAGCGCCCCTTTTTGTGGCACAATGCTCTACAGCAGAAAGTTTCGATATCGCCGTCTATCCTTCTCCCGCACGCTCTGCAAACAAACACTGCAGAAAGCAAATGCAGATTCCGGCATTTCCATGGTCACCAAGGGACTCGGCGCCATCGGAATAATCGAATCTTTGATTGGCGTTGGTTTGGGCATTGGTTCAATGATTGGCATTCGCCCTAAAGTTTCAATCAATTGCAACGGTCTATTTCCGTCTACTCGCTGCAAATACTCCCCTGTTCTGTGTTCGTAGTCCCACTGTGCCATCTTTCTCGTGAGAAAGTTCTCATCGATGTCACCTTCCAGCGTTGGATTTTCATGCATTATAGGGCCACGAATCGTGAGGACGAGCTGATCTTGCACAGACCAAGGTTCTGCAAAGGGGCCATTTGGCTCACCCGCACTTTGGAAACTCAGTTCAGGCATGTGCACCAGATTGGCTGCTGCCTTTTCGACTCTTCTCAGAAGAACCTGTGCAACTTGCATGGCATTGACTGCATTCAGAGCGAGTGCTCTCGCTATATTCGAGCCTTGCTCAAACTTTGTCGCAAGCTCAGATAGCTCTTCGCACTCACCTGTCGCTTCGCATGGTGCAGCTGGCCGTGCTTCAGCATCAACACAGGCATTTGGCGTGTTGTTTTCATCACCAGGGACTCCTGTCATCAATGCCTTGCTGCCAAACACACCGTAACGGCTCGCCATGGTAGGAACACCTGCTGGCAAAGCTTCTCCTACGATCGTAGGTTGCGGTGGTTTTAGAGTGCTGTACCACTTCACGAAGTCGTCCTCAGACAAGGTCCGCGGGGCTTCACCCATGTTCAGCAGATTTCCAAAGAAGGCTCCAAGAGTGCGACCCATGGGAGCGTTTCCTCTGAAAACAAATGAGACTGGAAGACTGGATACGTCCTTGAGCTAAACTGATAGCTCCGGCTTACTTTTTTGATCAAACACTGTATGATACTGTATGTTGTGACTCTTGATCAAAATGTGTTCACTATTCATGCATTCATCTAACACTCATCAAGCCATTTACATAACCCACATGCAAAGAATTGGAATTGTTTTGAAAGAATCGCGACCAATGACTTTGCATCAAGAGAAGGTCGCAGCTGAACAACTGCAATTTCTGATATCCTTTTGATGCCTTGGCCGGCCAAGAAAAGTGCGCACACCGTGGAGGATCATTCAATCTCGACAGGTCCTAAAGTGAAAAGCCGTTGGGACCTGCGTTTAGACCCCTTCAAATGCTTCGTGGCTTGTGGCCTCATGTTGACGTGACAAGTCCTATAGTCCAATCAGCAGAAGGCAGCTGAGTGATACTGAGTGAAGATGTTTGTTGAAAGATATTTAAGGGTGTTTATTAGAGGATTTAAAAGTCTATTTTGAATGGACGCCACTCAGCGGCCTGAAAGCCTTTGAAACTTCACCAGCGCACTCGGCGCGGTGGTCTGAACACATTTGAACACTGTGAAACCAGTGCAGGTCGGTGAGCAGTCAGATTTGATTCCACTCTTTGTTGCTGTGGGGTCCAACCTGGGCTGTGGATCACTGTCACCACGGACTACAGGACACTGCGATACCGAGATTGAATCAAAACTGTGATTCGGGCAATAGAAAGACAAAGAGGGCAACGATTTTGGTGGCCAAGCCTGAGAGTTATTACAGCCTTTCCATCTGGAGGCAAAACTCAAAAGACGTTGCAAGAAGTTGCCAGTCGTCTTCAGCGACAGTTCTAACATGTTCCAACTTAGCCCTGCACAACCATTCATCAACACAACTCCTAGGTGGTTCGTGTCCAGGTTCCAAGAGCGGGCCATTCAAATCGGAAGGGGAAAAAAACACCGAAGCACCGAAAAACATGAAATTGTCATGTTTATATACATACCCTAAAAGGGACAACGCATTAAAAAAGAAACACCATGCAGCGCATAGAGTCGCTAGAGCTGTTCCCGGCCGGATTTAGCTTGGGAGTCGCTGATAGGCTGAGTGTGGTACTGGTGAAAATGATGTTGGCAGGAGAGTTTGCGAATCTCCTGCAGACGATGTCATAAGGTTGCATACTTGGTGGCTTATCCCACTTCGTAAATGGATGTAAGTGGGTTGTAAGTTCAAACTTTATAATACCAGTTATGAGTAACGCAAATGGGGCTCGGCTAGATGCGCCTCCCCGTCATTGTAGGCACCAAAGCAGATGCTGCAGTCCAAATCACCTCCTAGTTGCGACGAGCTTGGAAACCTGGCTGTGAAAAGGGCATCACTGCAGTGGAAACCGATGGCAAGCCACTGGCAAACCAATGGCAAGCCCATGGCCAAAATGGAACAATGATGACCTATGAACAAAAATCCATAACCCATTATCCGCCGACCCCGGCAGATGCAAGGGGGAGCGCGCGCCAGGGAATAAGACAGGAGGAAAAGGTCGCGAGAATTCATTGCAGCAGCAAGAGCAAAAAGCCGCCTACTACTACTACTACTACTACCACTACCACTACCACTACTACTACTACTACTGCTACTACTACTACTACTACCACTTTACTACCACTACTACTACTACTACTACTACTACTACTACTACTGGGAGCTGTTTTTTCGGAGCTGTTTTAGTGCTAGCAGCCGCAGGCAACAGAATCTTTCGAGACGTTTTTGTAGGATTTCAGACGACAGGTCGCGTTCAGAGGCATGGTGTTTTCCCCGCGGGGCTGATTTTTTCGAATCTATTTTACTGCTAGCAGCCGCAGGCAACAGAAGCTCTCGAAAAATGCTGTTTTTCTAGGATTTCAGACGACACGTTAGGCAGTTTTTTGGCGTGGTTTTGGCACTAGCTCGTCCTTCAGAGGCATGGTGTTTTCCCCCCGGGAGCTGATTTTTTCGAAGCTGTTTTACTGCCAGCAGCCGTAGGCAACAGAATCTGTCTAAAAAAAATTGTATTTCTAGGATTTCAGACGACACGTTAGGCAGTTTTTTGGCGTGGTTTTGGCACTAGCTCGTCCTTCAGAGGCATGGTGTTTTCCGCCCGGGAGCTGATTTTTTCGAAGCTGTTTTACTGCTACCAGCCGCAGGCAACAGAATCTGTCGAAAAATCTGTCGAAAAATGCTGTTTTTCTAGGATTTCAGACGACCCGTTAGGCAGTTTTTTGGCGTGGTTCTGGCACTAGCTCGTCCTTCAGAGGCATGGTGTTTTCCCCCGGGAGATGATTTTTTCGAAGCTGTTTTAGTGCTAGCAGCCGCAGGCAATAGAATCTCTCGAAAAACGCTGTTTTTCTAGGATTTCAGACGACACGTTAGGCAGTTTTTTGGCGTGGTTTTGGCACTAGCTCGTCCTTCAGAGGCATGGTGTTTTCCGCCCGGGAGCTGATTTTTTCGAAGCTGTTTTACTGCTAGCAGCCGCAGGCAACAGAATCTGTCGAAGAATCTGTCCAAAATTTTGTCGAAAAATGCTGTTTTTCTAGGATTTCAGACGAGCCGTTAGGCAGTTTTTTGGCGTGGTTTTGGCACTAGCTCGTCCTTCAGAGGCATGGTGTTTTCCCCCGGGAGCTGATTTTTTCGAAGCTGTTTTACTGCTAGCAGCCGCAGGCAACAGAATCTGTCAAAAAATTCTTTTTTTCTGGATTTCAGACGACACGGTTTTGGAACTAGTTCGTCCTTCGGTTTTGGCACTAGCTCGTCCTTCAGAGGCATGGCGTTTTCTCCCCGGGAGCTGATTTTTTCGAAGCTGTTTTACTGCTAGCAGCCGCAGGCAACAGAATCTCTCGAAAATCTCTCGAAAAATGTTGTTTTTCTAGGATTTCAGACGACACGTTAGGCAGTTTTTTGGCGTGGTTTTGGCACTAGCTCGTCCTTCAGAGGCATGGTGTTTTCCGCCCGGGAGCTGATTTTTTCGAAGCTGTTTTACTGCTAGCAGCCGCAGGCAACAGAATCTCTCGAAAATCTCTCGAATCTCGAAAAATGCTGTTTTTCTAGGATTTCAGACGACACGTTAGGCACTTTTTTGGCGTGGTTCTGGAACTAGCTCGTCCTTCAGAGGCATGGTGTTTTCCCCCCGAGCTGATTTTTTCGAAGCTGTTTTAGTGCTAGCAGCCGCAGGCAATAGAATCTCTCGAAAAATGCTGTTTTTCTAGGATTTTCTAGGATTTCAGACGACACGTTAGGCAGTTTTTTGGCACTAGCTCGTCCTTCAGAGGCATGGTGTTTTCCGCCCGGGAGCTGATTTTTTCGAAGCTTTTTTACTGCTAGCAGCCGCAGGCAACAGAATCTCTCGAAAATCTCTCGAATCTCGAAAAATGCTGTTTTTCTAGGATTTCAGACGACACGTTAGGCACTTTTTTGGCGTGGTTCTGGAACTAGCTCGTCCTTCAGAGGCATGGTGTTTTCCCCCCGAGCTGATTTTTTCGAAGCTGTTTTAGTGCTAGCAGCCGCAGGCAATAGAATCTCTCGAAAAATGCTGTTTTTCTAGGATTTTCTAGGATTTCAGACGACACGTTAGGCAGTTTTTTGGCACTAGCTCGTCCTTCAGAGGCATGGTGTTTCCCCCCGGGAGCTGATTTTTTCGAAGCTGTTTTACTGCTAGCAGCCGCAGGCAACAGAATCTGTCGAAGAATCTGTCCAAAATTTTGTCGAAAAATACTGTTTTTCTAGGATTTCAGACGACACGTTAGGCAGTTTTTTGGCGTGGTTTTGGCACTAGCTCGTCCTTCAGAGGCATGGTGCTTTGGTGCTTTTTGAAGTTGTGCAACTTACAACTTGGCTTATAAGTGCACCAAGTGGAATTATATATACGCCAAATGAATTTATAATGCATCTAACCCTGAGCATGTTGAGTTATAAGTCACGGCTAAACTATAAATGGTTAGCTCAGACTTAGGCCACTTAGTAAATGGCCCGAGGACCACCTGGCTAAGTGCTTATAAGTGGGTTAGCTAAGTTCTGTAAGTCCTTCGTTTTTCTCGTGGGTTTCAGAATTCCGTCGCCTGAACATTTTTTTGGCGAATTTGAAAAGCCAAACAAATCACAAAATCAAACTTTTTCTCCAAGTTTGAACAGCCAACCAAGTCACACAATCAAACACAGGAAATCTCAGTTCAGCTCTTGTCCTGCCTGCAGCTGTTTTTCAAGCAAGCACTTGCAAAGCGAAAAAACGAACGACGATCGCCCAAAAGCAAGCCGAGGCTAGCCCGGCACATATATCGGGTCGAGGCTCGCCCGACCCATGGCGCAGCAGAGTTCAAGCTCTTTGCATGCACACCTTGGTCCCATCCCCGTCCGGGGAACGATCACAAGTGAGCAGCGGGAGCAGATCAAAGCTGCCACGTCTTGCTCTGCGGCAGTCAGGGAGCGGAACCAGTGGGGCGCCCGGATGCTGACTGTCACTGGCCCAGCCAACGGGCTGCAAGAAGCCCATAGCATGGCCGTGAAGTTCATAGAGGAGAACGGTGAAGATAAGGGTCGTGCAGATCCTGCTGCTGCCAGTGCCAAGAATGAAAGCAAGAAGAAGTGGCATGGTTCCTGGCACTCCTGGTCCACTTGGGATGCTGACAAATGGGTTCCGAGAAGCGAACATGAGGAGCTGCAAAACCGCCTCAAAACAGCGGAAGGGACCATTGCTGGTTTGCAGTGGCGTATGAGCTGCTGGGAAAGCTGGCACTACTACCAAGGGCAACCCAGCTACGGCTATGTGTACCAGAGTGCAGAGGCTCGCCCTGCACGTGAGCCCCGCGCAGAGCCTTGCCCGGGAAAAGATGAAAGAGATGAAAGAGACCGCACCCGAGACCCCAGCAGGAGCTATGACCGACGTGACACCGTGTCACCTTTGGAAGAAAGCAACAGGACCATCCTGCCTGAAGAGACACACACAAAGGAGTCTCATGCCAAAAAGCGCAAGAAGAAGAGGAAGGACCGCCAGCGATGGTCTGAGGATACGGGGCATGGGGATCAGCATGATCAGCGGCATTGGCAGAGGAAGAAGTGAGGCTCGCCCATCTCTTGGCACGAGGCTCGCCCGTGCACTAAAGAATCTTGACACTAGCAGAATGAGCGCTAGCGTGAAAATGGCTGGCACTGGCAGCCTTAACTTTCCCAAGTTGACCGTTGAATTTCGTCGTTCTGTCTTCACAGCGCATGGGCAAGTTGTGGCAATTTGTGCTTGTGCATGACCGCAGCCATTTTAGCAGGTTCTTTTCCAGGAAGAAGCTGGAGGAAGGCTCGTCCTCTTCCGTGCAAAAATGGAGGAAGGCTCGTCCTCTTCCGTGGCAAGAAGGCTTGTCCTCTTGTTTCTGATATGAAGAGAAAAAGGCCCAATTTTGACACCTTTGTTCCTCCGACTGTGACTTTGAGCGTGGCGGCACGAACATCTGGGGGAGACAGAAACCAGCTCCGTAAAGGTATCATCAGGCCTTTGCTGGAGGATTCCGTGTACGGGCACATTCTCCAAAAGTGCCCTATCCAATTCACCAACGGCGAGGCATATGAATGGGAATACATAAACCCGTTTGCTCTCATTCACCAATATACTTCAGCCCGACCACGTTTTGGCGATATGCTGCGGGGGGCTGGGTCCGTACGGATCGCTTTTTACATGGATGAAACTACACCAGGCAATGTGCTTCGCCCAGATCATGGTCGATCACTGGCGTGCTTCTACTGGACATTGATGGAACTACCGTCCTGGTTTCGGAGCCGCCACTGTGGCTGGTTTTATTTCGGGCTTTTTCCTCTGTCGCTGGTGGAGCACGTAGCAGGTGGCTATTCTTTCCTGTTTGCCTTCATGGTGAAAACATTCTTTGGCAAAGGATTGCTAGCATGGGATTTCGACAGGACAGGCATTTGCTGCAAATCAAGTGGTGGAGACTTCATTTTGAAAGCGCGTTTCGGGGCCCTACTTTCAGACGAGAAAGCAATGAAAGAGCTCTGGTGCACGAAAGGTGCTAGTTCCTACAAGCCTTGCCACCTGTGCAAGAATGTGATGGGCCGGGTGGACCTGCCAGACCGCGGCTACTTGGTGCACTACACTTGCACAGATTCAAGCCGCTTTGATTTGCATACTGCTGACAGTTTCCGGACTATGGCACAGAATCTGAAGCTTGAAGCTGGCAACCTGAGCAAAAAAGACTTCGAGCGATTGGAGCAATCTTACGGGCTTGTTTTCGACCCTCTTGGCATCTTGTGGTGTGAAGATTTGGGAGGCATTGTCAACCCTGTATCACACACCTACTGGGACTGGATGCATATATTGATGGCCTGTGGTGGGATTGCTCAGTATGAGTTCAATCAATATGCTAGGCGCCTTTGCAGTGCTGGCGTGTCCTTGCGGGCCCTTGACGATCTTGCTGCGGAGATTGTGTGGCCAAAGGGTGCTTATTGGTCAAAGAAATATTTCCAAAAGCGTGTGGTGGATAAAGACGGTGCCCATTTAAAGGCGTTTGCCAATGAGCTTTTCCAGTTGACGGACATTTGGCGCTTAATACTCCAGCTGGTGGTGCGCCCGGCTGGCATCCTGGAGCTGGAAACCAGAAGTTTAGAGAGCATGATGAAAATCATTGACATTTTGTCAATGCAGGAAGAGGCGTTGCCTCTTGTTGGTGACTTGGAAATCGAAATTGCCCAGCACCACGCTTGGTTTCTAGAACTTTACCCGGATTGCAACAAGCCGAAAACACACTGGCTACGACATGTTCCGTCCTTGTTCAGGGAGTTTGGCTGCAATCTCAGCTGCTTCAGCCCTGAGAAGAAGCACAAGGGAGTGAAGCAGCTGGCGCTTTTGATTTCTGCCAACGTTGAGAAAGGAGTCTTGTACCGCGCAGTTGCAGAAAATTTCTCTTCTTTCTCCAATGATGAAAATATGCTGCGCCCTATTTTCCTGGAACGGGCGCAGGACATGGAAGCTGAGTGGCTGCGGGCATTCTATCCGGACATGCAAGAAGCGAATGTTTCAAAGACACTGCGTTTTGAAGGTGGACGGGTGTCAGCATCAGATATGCTATGGTTTCCGGCTACAAAGCACCTTGCTCAGGCATCCTTCTTTTTGCAGGTTCGGCTTTTGAACTCCTCTGAGTTCTTGATCCACGGGGACTTATATCAGCAGGTTCGGGACAGCAATACTTTTCGAAGCACTGGCGTTGCCAGGCTTTTTGTTTGCACTAAGGACATGGTGCCAATTTCTTTCTGCAAACGAAATGGCGGAATTTGTCCTTGTGTGAGGCTCGCCCACACGAACTGAGCCAGGGCATTTAGCTGAGCGAGTAAATGGCACTGGTCGACCCCTGTATATATGTATATATATAACTTTGTACATACCCTATATGTAAACTTTTAAAATAAACATATATATATATATATATATATAATATATTATATATACTATTTTGTCAGACATGCAAATGTCTATATCTATGTACAACATATAAACCAGTTTAAACCCTATGTGCTTTGTGTTAAGGAAGATCCAACCCTTCATACTACCCCTCACCAGTTCATGCCAAATCTATGGAGTGCTTCTTTGGGTCACAGTGCTGTGCTTGTTTTGCAGAAGGTATGCACCAACATGCGACCACGTCAGTTCTTTGTAGTCGCAGCAGCCATATATACCCACAAACCCGAGATTTGACTTCAGATCTTTGAAAGGCTCGCCTTCAATCTTTGCAAGGCTCGCCTGCAGAGACTTGCGCCATGAGCGCCGCTAGCGAAGTGCCTGCTACTGCCACTGCAGAAGCTCTCCCCGAATCTGCGGCCAGTGAAGCTACCGAAGCGGCTTCTCCAGCTGAGACGGCAACATCTTGTGCAGAAACGCCTAGTGGCGTAGTTCCTCTGGACAAGGTGGAGACCGGCCCTGGACTTCCAGCAGAAAATTTGTGTTCCACCTGCAGGAAGCCTGTCTCTGAGGAGAATGGTGTGGTTGTGGCACGGGCAGTGGGGAAGACAGCTACTTCTTTGCGCTGCAGGGCATGCCACAATTTAAAAAGTAGGATCAACCGGGTGTTGAGCCACTATGGCTCATTGGCCCAGGATTGGACGAAGGTGACTGAAAATGAGAAGAAAGAATTTTACAAGAAGTACAAGGAGCAGGCGGGACCGGACCTTCTGACCAGGCTCCAGGAGACAGTGACGGAAAGCAAGAAGACCAGCAGCGCCGTCTCCTTCGAGGGCACCGGCGATTTCCTGGACGAGATAGATTTGGAGGAGAAGTACAAGAACAAGCCAGATCAATTGGCCGCTATTAAGGCCAACACCCGGACCTACTTCTGTCCAGTTCGACAGGTGCAGCTTTTCGAGGATGTGAAATATAAGCGCACGGCTGTGGAGACCGAGGAGTACGCGAAGGTGCAGAAACGCAAGAGGCAATCAATTCCGCTTGAACAAGGTGAACGTGATGAGACGGCTGCAGATTCGAGCCAGTGCAAGAAGGGCAAGAAAGAAGCAGCCAAAAGTGAGCTGCCGAAGTTGAAGGCTGGAGGCAAGAAAAAGATTTCCAAGAAAGTGGAACTGATGAACGCAAAGAAGCTGCAGCTGATGGATTGGAACTGCAAAGCGCGTGGTGACAAAGTCAAAGACTTGGTGCCTGGCTATGTCGTGAAGGCTTCCACAAAGCTGGTGGATGACGCTGTGGCCTTTGGGGTTGAATGCGACAGCATTCTTGAAAGTGGCCATGGCGACGCAGATGAGGTCATCAAGAAGGCAGACTCTTTCATGGAGCAGCTGACAGAGATGATGGGCCGCGTCAAGTGCCAAGTGGATCAGGCGCATGCTTTTGTTGCCACTGGTGCGAGCGGCCAGGAGTGAGGCTCGCCCGCTCAACTTCCAGAGGCTCGCCCTGAAGGCGGCAAATTTTGACAGCACGGGGATTCCTTATGAGGAGAAAGGAAAATATCCCGTTCTTTTTGTTTGCAGAAAAAAAAATCAAAAAACGAAACATTTTGGGCCGTATCGGGGCCGTATCGGGGCCGTATCGGGGCCGTATCGGGATGACTTTGGATACCCGGCCTTATTGGGACCATTCTCTTTCAAAAAATGAAATGTGAAAGTCACGGTTTTTTGGTGGCGCTCCGCGTGTGCAACTTCCACTGTGTATGAATTTGGGAATGGGCAAAATCACACGAGCTCAAAGGCCAGCCTTTGAAGCGTGACAAAAATATAAGTGCAAGCCGTAAAGAACACAAAAAGCGTCCAACACCCGGCCAAACACGTACTCCCCAGCGCGCACTTGGCTCACAAAGTCTCTGTGAAAGGCTCGCCTTCACCCATGGAAAGAAACGCTCCTGCACGCACGACTCAGACTGAGATGGCTGGAGGTCCCCCCCAGCTAGGTGGAGGCTCGCCCCAGCTGCAGACATGCGACGGCTCGCCCCAAAGAAAGCGAAGGAGCGGAGGTGAAGAAGCGCCGCGCAAGCAGCCACGCAGCTCCAAAGATTTATCCCCTGTTTCAATGGGCGCTGAAACTTTGACCCTCGACTTTTGGGAAGACAGAGACATAGAGGTGGGCGAGGACACCCAGCAATTCCCTGAGAATCCATCGATCGACTATGAGCTTGCATACACAGACTGGATGTTGTCCCAGTTGTCTGAAAAGGATGGCACGTGCAAGTGCAAATGGGTAACCCATGGCACTCGCTGGCATCGATGGGTTTGCTTTCTCTGCAAATATCCGGGACCCCAATGAGGCGCTTTCCTCCAGAGCCACCCCGAAACGCACGAGCCATGAACGGCGGCAGTTAGTTTAATTAAACCGTGAGGCTTGCCCACGTGATGCGCAGTGCAATCTAGTATATGATGCAATTTTTGCAAGAAAGAGAAAAATGAACAATCTGCTTTTCTTTGGGCTTACAAGGCTTTTTCCAGCTTGTCAGCTTTGGCGCATGTCAACAGGTCTACTTTCCCAACCACAATGTGCATTTTGACAAATGCAACAGCAGGAAAATAGCTGAAGCATCTGTTTTTCTTTGGCCCACATCTGCACACATACTTACAAACACCACAGTGTATATACCCAGCAAGCACGGCTCAAGAAAGCATTAGCTGTTTTGGTTTGAAGATGGGGTCGGAGGTTTTAGTTCCCGAACCCAATGACTGGAAAACAGAATTTCCACAGCTGAGGCTCGCCCAGCCAATCCACATAGCAATGCCATGCTGCGGAATAGACGGTGCTGGTTGGTCACTCCGAGCTATGGGGGTGCCCTTTACACCAAACAACGTATACGACCTGGAGACGCGATACAAGGAGTACTGGCAGGGCATGGTTGAAGAAGGCTCGCCTCTTCATTTCGGAAAGCACAATGGTGACATTGTCCAGGTCCAGCTGTCGGACTTGGAGCGCCCAGTGCATGTGCTTTGCAGTGGCCCGCCATGCCCGCCTTGGGCAGGAAATGGCAACAAGAAAGGTGTGGAAGACTTCCGAGCAAAAGCTTTTCTGGCTATTGTGAATATAGTGGCTTCGCTAGCCAAGTGTGGTGAGCTGCAAGCAGCGATCTTGGAAAATGTCCAAGGCATTTTACACCGCCAAGGTGGCGAAGAAAGTTTCATGTCAAAGCTTCTGCACATTTTGCAAGAAGAAGTGCAGGAATTTCTCTGGCAGGTGGACACCCTCAAGGCGGTGGACTACAAGCTAGCGCAGGACAGAACGCGTGTGTTCTTGCGTGGGATCCGGAGCACGTTGTGCCCAAGCGGGGCGGTGCCACCTCCACTACCCCCATTTGGCCACAGAGTGTTGACAGACTTTCTGGCGTCAATGCCTTGTGTGGACCGTAAGAAGCTCACAAAGTGCATGGCCCAAAACTTGAAAGACAGCCAAGAACAACTGCGGAAACTTTTGCAGGAAGGTCGCCTCGTAGAGACAGACGTTGTCTGCTTCCCACTGGACCGCGCAGATGGCAAAACATACAAGCGGCATATCAGCGTCAATCGTACACCAACATTGACCACCTCGAATTCATACCTGTTTGTGTCAGACATGAAGGTGGGCCTCCCAGATCAGAAACGGACACACTTCCGTTTCTTGCATCCGCATGAGCGGTTTGTTTTGCAAGGTTTCAACGTGGAAGTCGCCGAACAATTCGCTTCCAGCCAAGCCTTACAAGTCAAGGCAGCAGGAAATGCCTATCCAGTGCCACTCATTGGAGCAGCAATGGCCCCATTGCTGGCTGCCTTCGGTGAGCTGCCCCAGAAAGGAGAAAGGGAGCTGGAGTTCCCCACGCGTTTCCATGAGCGTTTGGCTGACGCCATGTACGGTGCTGGGAAGAAAAGCAAACCAAAGAAGGCAGGACATAAGGTGCTCAAACGACCGGCTGCACACCAATCATCAGACAAACCTGCAGACGAAAAATTGGACAAAACCCATCCTGGGCCCCATGACAAGGAGCAACATGACGGTGATGGGGCACAGCCTTTGGGTGAAGAACGTGCGGGGCCTTCCACCAAGAAGCGACCTGCCAGCACGGCAAGCATCGGAAGGCCCTGTCAGAAACCAAGACTCCCTGCCGCATGGCGCCTGCGTGGCTTTCTTTCTTCCTCAAGCTCTGACTCCGGCTGAATGTGCAAGGCTCGCCTGCACCATCATACCAGTTTTGAAGCAAGGCTCGCCTGCTGCGATGCGTAACCACGACGGATCCACAACTTGCGCTAAAAACAATAACTTGCAAGTGTTACCGCCCAGAAGCCCGTTGCACTCTCACAGGTGGGCAAAGATTGCATGAGTTTATTTCCTCTTCCACGCTGGTTCAAGCTGACCACGGGTTGCTGCGAGGCTTGCCCGCAGAAACATTGAGAGCGAAGCTTTTGCTTGTGATTGTAGGGAAAAACCACATGGCTGAAGCCCGCTTTGATGGGATGCTTGACTACTTCGCTGCTCTCCAAAAGAGCTGCGGGGGGTTCCTTGAAAAGGACGCCTTAGACCCCCTGTTGAAAAGCTGCATGCTGGATATTGAACGCGCCCCGCCCATAACCATAGAAGCAGGGGCCAGCATGCTTAGAAAGCTTGAGAAAGCTACCGTGCCCCAGGCATGGCGTGAAGCTTTAGTGAAACTGGTGCAAGCCAAGGTTCAGACAGGCGCAGAGAACAGCTGCAACGAAGGGAATAAGAAGAACAAGGAAAAACCAAGGCAGACATGTCTGCACTTGGACAACTATTTCTTGAAGAAGGACTGGGAAAAACTGGCTTCGGATGGGTTGACTGACAAGGTCAACTTGGCAGCGCAAAGAATGGCAGCCCTGGGTTTGCTGAACCCAACAGAGCCGACTGTGGTGCATGCAGTCGCAATTCTGTATTTGACGTCGCACAAAGGGACCCTGGAAGAACTTAACATCACCGGCGTCCATGCTTTGAATACGGTGCGGGATTTGAAATCTGTGCTCAGAGGATTGAAAGGCTTTACGCAGTCTGGGATCACCAACTACCCAATGGATCCTGCAGAATTGCCCGGCCCCATATTCATGAAAGCGTTTGGACAAGAAAAGCCAGAGCCAAGCCGTCTGGATCCTCACGCGCTTGGATGGTTACAAGTTGTGCTACCTGCAAGGGACACGCACACATCAGTGCGAGGTGCCTGGGGAAAGCGAACCTCGCGACTACGCACTGGCAACAACTTCCAGGAGATGCTCATGAATGCCATGAGCAACCCTGACATGGCAGCAGCTTTCGCCAGCATGATGAGAAACAATTCTGGAGTGCAGCTGAACATGACACGCCGGAAACAGTTGATGCCAAGCGCTGCCTCTGCACAGGTGGAACCACTCATGTTGGCAAACGGGCCAGCTGCTTCTCACAACTTGGCAGGCAAGCAAGACCCAAAGGATGAAGTCGACCTCGAGACATCGCTTCCAAGTAATGAAGAACCTAGCATCAAGGCTCGTCCTGGTGCAAAAGAAATCAGCAAGGCTCGTCCTGCTGTAAGTGAAACCAGCAAAGCTCGGCCTGCTGCAGGCGAACCCTGCGAAGCTCTGCCTGCAAAGGACAGCAAGGAATTGCCTCCGCTGGAACCCAAAAGCGTAGATGCCATGGCGAATGACATCTTGGCAGCCATTGGCGGCCAAAAAAGAAAGAAGACCGCTGCTGAAGAGACCACCGAGGGCGATGACGTGCCCATGCCGAAGGTAAAAGCCAAAAGCAAACCAAAGGGAAAGGCCAAAGCCACAGCAAAGAAAACATCTGCTGTGGCCAAGGCCAAGAGTACGCCTCCCAAGACCAAGAATGCTGCGCCCAAAGCAAGCCCGAAGAAAAAGAAAGAGGTCTTGCCATTCCCTGGGACAGCTGCACATGAGCCCGTTCGCCACAAGAACGCTACAGTTTACATATGCCCCAAGTCGACCAACTACAGGGTCAAACTTGATGGTGAGAAGAAGGACAAGGCCTTCAGCTGGAAACGCCAGGATGCGAAGGAGGCATGGGTGCAGGTGAAGGAATACATCCTGAACTTGGAGTGAAGGCTCGCCTCACCAACTTGGTGGAGGCTCGCCCCACCATGGCTGAATCTGTCACCCAGTTGACGGAAGCTATGCCCACCTATCGCCTGAAGAGAGGGCTTGTTTCACAAAGCACAGCCCGCAAAGTCCAAAATTTGCATCCTGATATTTGGCCTGCTTCTTTTTGGAGACGGGTTGTTCCTGTTTTTTTGCTGCTGCATTGAAAATTTGAGTGGTCCTTTTTGTGTTTTTTGCAACCTCCGGTGTGTTTTTCAATATGTCCTTTGGCCTGAATGTTGCCCCCTCGTGCGTGTTTTTTTGGAATCCCTCGTGGCCTTTTTGTGGGACCCTCGTGGCCATTTTCCTGATCACGAGGATTTGCTGAGCTAAGTGGTTATAACTCCCGCTAATTAGTTAGCTGCGAGGACCCTGCAAATTGTTTGTAAATGGTTATAACCTTCGTTATAAAACAGCTAAACGCAAAAAGCGCCAAAGTGTTTTCCCCCCGGGAGCTGATTTTTTCGAAGCTGTTTTCCTGCTAGGAGCCGCGGGCAACAGAATCTGTCGAAAAATGCTGTTTTTCTAGGATTTCAGACGACATGGTTTTGGAACTAGTTCGTCCTTCAGAGGCATGGTGTTTCCCCCCCAGGAGGTGATTTTTTCGAAGCTATTTTACTGCTAGCAGCCGCAGGCAACAGAATCTGTCCAAAAATATTGTTTTTCTAGGATTTCAGACGACACGTTAGGCAGTTTTTTGGCGCGGTTTTGGAACTAGCTCGTCCTTCAGAGGCATGGTGTTTTCCCCCCGGGAGGTGATTTTTTCGAATCTATTTTACTGCTAGCAGCCGCAGGCAACAGAATCTGTCGAAAAATGTTGTTTTTCTAGGATTTCAGTCGACACGTTAGGCAGTTTTTGGCGTGGTTTTGGAACTAGCTCGTCCTTCAGAGGTATGACGTTTCCCCCCCGGGAGGTGATTTTTTCGAAGCTGTTTTACTGCTAGCAGCCACAGGCAACAGAATCTGTCGAAAAATGATGTTTTTCTAGGATTTCAGACGAGCCGTTAGGCAGTTTTTCGGCGTGGTTTTGGAACTAGCTCGTCCTTCAGAGGCATGGTGTTTCCCCCCCGGGAGCTGATTTTTTCGAAGCTGTTTTACTGCTAGCAGCCGCAGGCAACAGAATCTGTCGAAAAATGCTGTTTTTCCCGAGAGCGCCTGGGAATGGTTCTTCGTAAAAAAGCAGCCGTTATACTACATCTTCACACCTTCACATCTGCTGATCTAGATCTTCACACCCTCACATCTGCTGATCTACATCTTCACACCTTTACATCTGCTGATCTAGATCTTCACACCTTCACACCTGCAGATCTAGATCTTCACACCCTCACATCTGCAGATCTAGATCTTCACACCTTCACACCTGCAGATCTAGATCTTCACACCTTCACACCTGCAGATCTAGATCTTCACACCTTCACATCTGCAGATCTAGAGCTCACACATCTCACACGCAGATCTAGATTCAGATCTAGATCTACTTCACACCCTCACACTGCAGATCTAGATCTTCACACCTTCACATCTGCCTAGATCTTCACACCTTCAGATCTACATCTTCACACCCTCACACCTGCAGATCTAGATCTTCACACCTTCACATCTGCAGATCTAGATCTTCACACCTTCACACCTGCAGATCTAGATCTTCACACCTTCACACCTGCAGATCTACATCTTCACACCCTCACGCCTGCAGATCTAGATCTTCACACCTTCACATCTGCAGATCTAGATCTTCACACCCTCACATCTGCAGATCTACATCTTCACACCTTCAGATCTGCAGATCTCCTCTCGCTCTTCTTCTATTCTCTCTTAAGGCGGGGGCGGTGCCGCCGGAGCGCCACGAAACGCAACCCTTTCGCACGAAATGGACGTTGGACGTCCAAAACCTAGGTAAAATTGTGATTTTGAAGCGTCCCCGGCAACCCTTTTGCACGAAATGGACGTTGGACGTCAAAAACTGAGAAAAATTGCGACTTTGAAGCGTCCCGCACAACCCTTTCGCACGAAATGGACGTTGGACGTCAAAAACTGAGGAAAAATTGCGACTTTGATGCGTCCCGCGCAACCCTTTCGCACGAAATGGACGTTGGACGTCAAAAACTGAAGAAAAATTGCGACTTTGAAGCGTCCCGCGCAACCCTTTCGCACGAAATGGACGTTGGACGTCAAAAACTGAAGAAAAATTGCGACTTTGAAGCGTCCCGCACAACCCTTTCGCACGAAATGGACGTTGGACGTCAAAAACTGAGGAAAAATTGCGACGTTGAGGTGTCAATCGCAACCCTTACGCACGAAATGGACGTTGGACGTCAAAAACTGAGGAAAAATTGCGATTTTACTTAGTCAATCGCAACCCTTACGCACGAAATGGACGTTGGATGTTAAAAACTGAGGAAAAATTGCGACGTTGAAGCGTCCGGCGCAACCCTTTCGCACGAAATGGACGTTGGACGTCAAAAACTGATGAAAAAATGCGACTTTACTTAGTCCATCGCAACCCTTACGCACGAAATGGACGTTGGACGTCAAAAACTGAGGAAAAATTGCGATTTTACTTAGTCAATCGCAACCCTTTCGCACGAAATGGACGTTGGACGTCAAAAACTGAGGAAAAATTGCGATGGACGCTTTCGTTTGTGTAAAAGTGTCTGTGTGTAAAAGCCTCTATGTGTAAAAGCGTCTGTGTGTAAAAGCGTTTGTGTGTGAAAGCGTGTGTGCGTGTGTAAAAAGCATCTGCGTGTAAAAGCGTCTGTGTGTAAAAGCGTCTGTGTGTAAAAGCGTCTGTGTGTAAAAGCGTTTGTGTGTGAAAGCGTGTGTGCGTGTGTAAAAAGCATCTGCGTGTAAAAGCGTCTGTGTGTAAAAGCGTCTGTGTGTAAAAGCGCCTGTGTGTAAAAGTCTCTGTGTGCAAAAGCATCTGTGTGTAAAAGCGTCTGTGTGTAAAAGAGTCTGTATGTAAAAGGGTCTGTGTGTAAAGCGTCTGTGTGTAAAAGGGTCTGTGTGTAAAGCGTCTGTGTGTAAAAGTGTTTGTGTGTAAAAGCTTCTGCGTGTAAAAGCTTCTGTGTGTAAAAGCCTCTGTGTGTAAAAGCGTCTGTGTGTAAAAGCGTCTGTGTGTAAAAGCGTCTGTGTGTAAAACCGTCTGTGTGTAAAAGCTTTTGTGTGTAAAAGCGTCTGTGTGTAAAAGCGTCTGTGTGTAAAAGCGTTTGTGTGTAAAGGCTTTTGTGTGTCAAAGCGTCTGTGTGTCAAAGTGTGTTTGTGTAAAAGCACCATGTGTAAAAGCGTTTGTGTGTAAAAGCTTTTGTGTGTACTTTTACCGCACGACATGGAACTGTTAGAGATTGAGGGTGAAAATGCTTGCTAGTGCATCCGTGCTAGGACGTGTGGAGCTCGGTTCGTTTGGTGTGGTAATTTGTGTGGGAATTGATATGTTCATAGTGAGCTTCACTGTTCAGTTTGCATGTCTATGCGACAATGATGTTTGCTTGTCAAACGCAGGAGTCGTGGTCTCAGGCTTCGAAGAACACATTCTTTGCATTGAATTGTGCGAGTGCGTAGCAGGTTAGTGCATGAAGTTGTAGAATGTAGAAGTTACCAAGCTGTTGGGTTCGTTGTACCTTTGTGGATGTTTCCTTCGAGAACGGTGTGATGCATGTAATTTACAGCATCATGGTACCGAGCCTTTTTTGCCAATTTGTGTGGGAAATTGTATATTAAAATGGAATAACATGTGTCTTCCCGGCGAATTACGGTACCGTTCTTTTTCAAACCGAATTTTGGTTGATATGTTCGACAATGATGCCCATCCCAAGTGTCAAACTCACGAATTGTGTTCTCAGTTTGGAAGTCCAGCATGATGCAAGATGAAACAAGGCATTGCGAGATGATGCAAGATGGTGTTGCCGAGCTGCTGAGTTTTTTGTTACCGAGCTTTGTTAAACTATTTTTTTGGTGATGCGTTCAGCTTTCAGTTTGCAGGTCTCTGCGACAGTGGTTCTTTGCCATGTCAAACTCATGAGTGGTGTTCTCAGTTTGGAAGTCAGAGAACAAATGCTTTGCAGTGGATTGTGCAACTCTGCAGCGACAAGCATAGTTTACCTCTTTACCTCTTTCCTGGGCTCAGACGTGAACGGAGAGATTATAAGACGCATTGTGCACAGAGTTAACATCCATATTCTTATGCTGAATGTTCGTGAAACAAGCGACGATTGGCAAACAGATATCTTTAACATTTCTTGCACTTCTCGAGGTTTCTGTAGGGGCTGTTAACAAACAGGTGTCATCCATGTCCTCAGAGCGTCGAACTTGTTATTGTGGAATCATTCAAAGCATTCTTGCACGGAGTTTTAGATTCTTTGGGATGCCATGGTACCGAGCCTTTGCGTGTGCACTTTTGCATTTTTTAGCGTTTCCATTGCGACCATGTTTGCACACCTTTGTTTGCAACTGAGGTCATCTACGGCATCATGGTACCGAGCTTTACATGTATCTCAAAGAGCAGATGCTTCGCATTGGATTGTGCATTGGTCTTCTGCACTTTTGCGATTTTTTAGCATTTCCATTGCAACTATGTTTGTGCACCTAGTGGTGCCGCGCTTTGTGAGCGTCTGTTGGCGATTGATGCTGCAGAAGCAATACTTGGAATTTTGTGTTGGAGGCGGAGCTTTAATGATCCTTATGTTTTTTTTTCGTGATTTGTTGTTGTGGATGAGTTTTGCTTTGTCTTATTTTTTTCGTCGTTCTTACATATAGCTGATTTGTTCAATATGTCAGTTCGTTTTTTTTTTCATTTGCTTGTTGTGTACTCGTTGGTGGATCTTCATGCACCAGGTGGTGAAGAGGATACTGAGATGATGGCAGATCATGTTTTTCGGCCTTTGCCAGAGACGGAAGATGCTTTTTTGGTGGAGCTGAACCAGAGGAATGTGGGTCCGAGCGATTATGCTTCTGCTTTGCTTGTC